TTTTGGATATCGCTATTTTTGGTGTTACGAAAGGTCTGATTTTTGCTGTTTGTTCAACTCGTCACGTGACGAGTTGAAACTTTCTCAAAGTATTGATAAATCGTCAGATATTTGTTGAAAATGGCCGTAAAAGATTGAAAAACTATTGAATTCTAATCAAAATCGATCTATTAATGTTCGTGTTTTGCTTGAACGACTTTTTCAAAGAAGGAAGATCAATCAAATGTTATCAATAGGCTTGAAAATATCGAATGCCAACCACGAGAAAAGAAAAACCGAATGTTAAACTTCTTCTAATCATTTTTTGCATATTCGAGATTGAAAGATCATTTTATTTTGATTAATATTAACTCTCACTTCATATTTTTTTTGAGATCAACTTCTAAAATGTTTGAAATATTAAAATGCTCGAAGATTAAGCAATCTTTTTTGTAATATTATTTTGTATTCCTTGTACTTTATTCAAAATTTAGCATATAATGTCTATCTTCACGCAGAACGGAAGCTTTCTTAAAAGAGTTAAAAGAGAAATTGTCTATTATTTACTATTCTGAAATCTGACTAACGGATAGAATCACTAAAAAAAAAACGAAAAAAAATCAAAGAACTTAAACATATGCGAAGTATATTGAATTAAATTAGCTTAGGTAGAACGATCTTTTCAAAGAAATACTCACTTATTTAAAGTTGTTTTGAGTGAAACGATTGATATTGTCTATAGAAAAGTTCTGTAGATAGTTGTCAGGTTCATGTCATTTATATTATGTATCTATAAATTTCTCTTATTTTTTTTAAACAACAAGAATGAAATAGACTTCCAATAAGATTGATGAATCACTTTTTTAAATCGAATGATTTTTCTGAATTTCTATCTGATGCTTAAATCATTATGATATTTGGAAATGTTAAGAAATAATATTAATAAACATACTCATTGGACACTAAATTTTTCCCTGAAAGTTAATAAACTCAACTGAATTTCAAATTATTTTAGCACCAAAAATGATATTCGAGATTAGAAGAATGATGATCAATCGAGTAAATATCTTAACAGAATGCATATAGAGAATATCAAAACAGTGAATGACCGTTGAAATGTTTATCTATCTTTCTGATAATAGTTTTATCATCGAATAGCACAACTTCTCAAGATCTAATGTTGTTAGTGTATTCGATGAACAATGATCGAAATGTATTTCTGTTTGATAGTTAATGATGGAGCGAGACTAGGCTTTCTTGTTCATAGATAGATTCATAATTATCCCATTTTTTGTATTTTATTGATGTAGTGCAATTTTGTCAATAAACTCAATGAATTACCTAAGATTATACTGATAGATAAATGAACAGGTAATATATCCTATTCGATTAGAGCAAATAACTATTTAAATTTGTAAAATAAAATATTTATGATAAATTCTTCCTTTTAACTCGGATGTCTTGTTCCAATTTTTCTTTAACATGTGTAAGATAATCATCAATCGGAAACAAATACATAATATATAGGAAATGATGGTCTTGATCTATTTTTTCATTTAAAAACAAAGCATACAATATTTTGATATAGGTTTCAAGGAAAGAAACAAAGACAAACGTTCACAGTTTGTTGATGTTATAGATCATGTCAATTATTGTAAAATTTGTCGAAATATGTCGAGATTGTCTGTGCTTACGAACCAGATTTGCTCAAATGCGTATCGAATGGCTTCAATTGACCCCATGAGTGAACCATTAAGTACTTCATTGAAAAGTTGAGCAATCATCTTTTCACTATTACCAAATGCACCTGTTCCAATAGGTCCCAACAATAGATATGTATTTTTGCCGCTGCCTTCTGTATTTGCTACTGCTGAGGCAATAATAGCACGAAATTTTTCTAGTGTGCGAGTACGCATTTGATATTCGTTTGTCTTTGATGGCGGCTCATAAAGTCCTTCACCTACGCCAGACACATCATAACCTTTTCAAAAACAGAGAAATAAAAATAAACTACTTTACTTGGTTTACACCTCTAACATAACTAAAGGATTAAGCGTAAGAGCGAAGTGTTAATAAAGAAAGAGGTATATTAACATTCTCTTTGAACTAAAATCATCCAGCCAGAGGAGGAGTTATTGCATCTTGTATCGTGCCTATCATTCAGTATTTATACTAGGAATATAGTGGCAACTCTCTCTCTCTTTTTTTTAACTAGTATCAGCTAACTTTTTGTGCTATGTTATTTCCTATCTTCTAACTATGTTGTCTATAACTAATCATAGAAAAAATAAGAAAATCAGTTAATGCTTTTCAATATCTCTTCTATATTTCTTTCCTAACAATTCTTCTTTTTTTTCAACTCTCGTTAAAGTCGTTGCATATCTTCTATTTACTAAAAAAAACATCAAAATAGCATAGAACAATCAAAATCGTCATCGTGAGTCAACTGCGGCGTTAAAAAAGCTTTTATTTCTACACTACGTTTAAACGATGTAACCTTTTTTCGTAGCTAACCGAAAAGTTTGTAAGTACAAATAGCAAAGATATATATATATAATAATAATAAAAAATGTTTCTTTTTACTTAAATACTTTGACATCTCTAGCGTATACAAACATACTTACAGGCAGCTGCAATCAAATCAGTGACACATTCTTCTTGACCATGACGGAAGAAACGCACTCGTTTGATATAAGCAACACCGAATTCGGGTAACATATATCCTCCATCCATCAATGTATATTTGAGATCGAGTAGTGCTCGATAACCATCTGAATTGTAAAGGATAACCTACAAAGAAAAAATGAAATACAGATATAGACATTTAATCATTTCACTGTTGGGTTATTTTTAGTGAAAAGCTTTCACATCTTGTAGTCAATGTGATCTTTTCCATTAGTCGAAGTTTCACTGGCCAATGGGCTCCGTCCCTAATAATATAATTTTTATTCGAAATATCTGAATATATGATAAATCTCACGACAGAGCACCATGCATAAGCCAATGCTGCATCTCCTGCATTCATAGCTCGCTTTTATTTTCTGCTTCGGATCAGAAATTGTAAGAGTGTGATGGTATCATACAATAACACTAGTAGAATGAAAGAAAGGCGAGAGGATGTACAACTATAAGTCCTACAGGGCTAAAAAGTTTACTTTTTTTCAAGATTTTTAGGCAAATCGTGAACGGATGTGGAAAGTCTTGTATCAAAAATAAGCATTTCCTACAAGACTTTCATCGCGTCCAATATAACTCTTATTATAATAGATAGAATCTCTTAAATATTAATATCAATCAATCACTTCGAATACAATTTGGTACTGGTAAAAAAGGAAAAATGTCACCGTCCCATGTATGAGATACCCACCGCAAAAGGGTTAAGCCATTCATACGTACTTCTTCTTGTGTCTTTACACCTTCTAAAAAATAACCACCTGGCATACGTTCATCGGCAAAATCTAGTACAATTATTTGTTTGCCTTTAGGAACGTGAAAAACTGCATCTTGAATGCCTGATGTGATAAAATGAAATGTGCCTCTATTGTTTCGTTTGTAAACAGGTATTTCAAGTAAACTTTTTCTTGCATCGATATCGGCTACTGGATTATATGAATTATCTTTGATTATATCTCGAATCTGTTGATAGTTCCAATAGATTTTAAGTTCATTAGGCTGAAATCCATGCTTACGATAACGAGCAATATATGGACGAGATTGACTGTCTACTATTTGCGCCACTTTTTTTATCTTCATTTCCCAATAAGTACCCAAGTTACTCGCGTGATGATGGTCTTGATATGGTTCGATTGTATTCTGCAATTGAATATAATTTTTTTCAACGATATTCCAGTTCATTCTTGATGATGGCGCATATTCATCAATCCAATCGAGTAATTGGCTATTACTAGGTGATGAACGAATAGATAGGAGAAATTTAAGCATTGTACGACGACTCTGATGACGATCGACTCGTTTCGTCCAGAATTCAGTTGTTGGTGCCAGAGCAATACTCATCACCGAACGTATGTCAACTTTACCTAATGAATGAACAGGTACAAACATGCTGGTAAACTTTCCTCTTGTCGTTGTCATGGTGATTGCACATACAACAAGAAGAAGAATCATTTTGATGAAAGAAAAGTGTGCCATTGATATGGATTGCCACTTGATGAACTATAGATACAGCAAAAATGGACATGATAATCGAGATTTTAAAGTCAATTATTACCAGATAAAAGTTAGGCAAATATTTTATGACGTAAGTACACGCTAAGAGTTTAGAAAATTGTTCAAATTTTCAAGAAAACTTTGTATATAGCTTAGTGGAACTGAGGTAGTAATTTTAAAGTTGATCAAACTAAAATTAGTATTACAAGAGAGAAAACTTTCGATCTATAAGATTTGAGTAGAATTGAGTCTCTATTGAATGGAACTTGAATAACAAGTAAAAATAATTACGTTTCAAAGTTGCTTCTGATTTCAAATAGTCACTCACACACTTACCTCCAGTTAAAATTACAATGTCAGCGCAATATATACATGTACGATACGCAAATAATAACATTTGATAAATCGAATGAATGGCAATATGTCTGCTTAGCATTGCTCTCTATCAATAAAACGTATATTGAAGAAATTTGTTGACATACAGGTGTCTTTCAAAGAATCTAATCATCCGTTTGCATCCAATTTACAAGAAACTATAAAAATATACTAAGGTCTAACATGAAAGTTTGTCGCAACTATTCCAAAGCAATGTGCTCTGAATTACAAAACACTTGAATAGATGGATAGTTAAATAGAATATTTTCATAGTTGAGTATATAGCTCTGAAGATTTTAAAATCATACTTCGGTTGAAATGCTTGTGGAAATATATTGAAATATTAATCGATTCTTCGAAATTGAAAAACAACTGTAGTTTTCGAATAGGAATCATTTTCCCTCACTATTTATTTTTTCTTCTCTTCAAACTGCATATTTCGTAAAAAAAAACAATTTCATCAGTGCCAATGTTTGGCAGAATTCCAAATGTTGTGCGACTTGAAAGTTCGAGCTTGCGCTGTAAAATTCATTGAAAGTAGACTTATTATACATCATTCGATTTGTCTCATTTACATCAATTTGATGATATGAATAAAGCTACAGTCTAATAGGTTAATTCTAAGATTTTCAATCGATAATTCCTGAAAGAACCTTATTTAGCTCAGTATACATTTCTTTTGAGATTAACAAATTGTAATACAAAGATGAATGCAATTTCTTACACTTTTTTCAAGTGTGACTTCAAAAATAAGTAACGTTCAATGAATATCGATTTACTCGTTCGTAGACTGGTGAAAAGAAAAACATTCTTTTGGTATACGAAAAGTCCAACATGTCTTCAAGTCAGTATTCTAAATCTATTCGAAATGAAAAAAAAAACAAATTTTATTATGTGACAGGCCGTATTGATACGTGAAAGAATCAACAACCTTTATTGTATATAATTTCCACTGTTGTATGAAAACAATTTTTTTAAAGAAAGTGTAGAGCATAATGTGATAAGCAAAATAGAATTTTTATGGTAGTGAACTTGTCCAAGAGAACTAGTCATTGATCGTAAGAATAATAAATAATTGTGAGAAGATCATGTTGTTGTTGTTCATTTAACATCATGATTTCATTTTATAGAAGTCAATAAAACTTTTTATTTTTAACAGCAGCGAAAATTCTTTTTTGTAATTGACAATGTCAGCCAAGAAAGTCTATCGAAAATGACAGAATTCACTTTTGGAGAAAACTGCAAAAGTAAATTCTGTATAGACTATCTTTACGATGGAATTCACTGGCATTGTGCAATTACATTGGCACTATTACATAGTGACATATATACCACGACCATTGAATGTTTTTTGTTCTTCGTATAGTATATATATAGGCTGTTTATAACTATTGAACTATTGTTTTTACTATATGACGACATCATTATACATTCTTTTTTCTTTTTATCTTCCATCTATACGAGATAGATCGACTATAATCCTTTACTTATTATCGAAATGCGTCCATATATGCTGCCATAGTTATTTTTGAAATATAATATATAAGTAAATGAACGACTTAATATTGAAATATAAAACTTTTTATTTTTAACAGCAGCGAAAAATTTTTTTTTGTAATTGACAATGTCAGCCAAGAAAGACTATCGAAAATGACAGAATTCACTTTTGCAATCTATCTCATATAGATGGAAGATAAAAAACAAAAGAATGTATGATGATGTCATCGTATAGTAAAAACGATAGTTTGGTAGTTATAAACAGCCTATATGTATACTATACGAAGAACAAAAAACATTCAATGGTCGTGGTATATATGTCACTATGTAATAGTGCCAATGTAATTGCACAATGTCAGTGAATTCCATCGTAAAGATAGTCTATACAGAATTGGCTTTTGCAGTTTTCTGCAAAAGTAAATTCTATCATTTTCGATAGACTTTCTTGGTTGACATTGTCAATTACAAAAAAGAATTTTCGCTGCTGCTAAAAATAAAAAGTTTTATATTTCAATATTAAGTCGTTCATTTACTTATATATTATATTTCAAAAATAACTATGGCAGCATATATGGACGCATTTCGATACTAAGTAAAGGATTATTTTCGATCTATCTCGTATAGATGGAAAGGTGTGGGTGTGGATGTGGGGTGTGGGTGTGAGGTGTGAGTGTGGGTGTGGGTGGGTGTGGGTGTGTGGATGGGTGTGGGTGTCGATATCTTTACTCACTCCGCCCACCCACACTCACACCCACACCGACACACACCCACACACACCCCATACCCACACCCCACCCACACCTACACCCACATCCCACACCCACATCTCACATCCACCCACACACATACTCACACCCCACCCTGAAAAAAAACAATTGAATAATATCTAAATCATATGATTGATAATGAATTAGATCTATTGGAAGAATCAAGAATACAACGAAAGAGAACATCTTTAATAGCTTCATTTGTTGCTTCATTGCAAAAAGATGAACAAACTAAAGCTAAGGAAAATAAGAGCAGTGTCACGGATCCAAGAAATCGGGGATCTTAGAGATCTTCAATATAACAATAGTTTCACCCTACTGATACATTACTCATATCCGATACTAGCCTTTCTCTCTACAAGAAATACTACCTCTCATCACATCTCTATAATAGATACCGTATCTCTAATCAGATCTCTGTAAGAGATGCCGCATCTCTAAGATCTGCATCTCCTAATGAAAATTTGTTTTAGTTTTAGCCTAGAGATGACGCTAGAGATGCGGCATCTCTGCTTGGAGATGCATCTCCAACATCATCCCTAGGCTAAAATTGAAAAAAAATTCCACCTAGAGATGCGGATCCTAGAGATCCGGCATCTCTCGGGTATGGGTGTGTGGATGTGAGTGTGGGTGTGGGAGATGTGGGATCTCCTGCGAGGTGTCTGATAGGAAGAAAAATACGATTAGGATGTGAGAAATCAGTATTATATTCAAGTGTTGTTAGTATATTGGAGATCTCCATGGAGATCTCCAAGATCCCCGATTTTTTGGATCTGTGACACTACTCATTCTCAAGTACCAGAGAAGATTAAACCTCAATTTATGAATAGAAACACTCAACAAGATTTATCTATAGAAAAACTTGATTCACTAATCTATCTCAATTGTGTTGTTCAAGAAGTACTTCGTTATTCTCTTTCATTTACTAAAACCTATCATACACTAACAACTGATGATTATTTATCAACAAGTGGAACTAATTTATTCAAAGGTGATCAAATATTTATTCCAATTTATAATCTAGCTGTTGACACTGAATTATGTTCAATTGATCCAAATCAATTTTATTTCGAAAGATTTTTAGATCAAGATCGACAACATCATTCATATGCACGGATTCCATTTATTACTGGTCATTGACAATGTCTCGGACAAGATTTAGCTAAATTTAAATTAAAACTAGCTGCAGCAAGATTAATGCAATATATCACATTTGGTGATGCTGATTCGAATTTAAATGCAGACAGACATTTAGCTAGTGTTACTATCAAACCTCGACATGTTGGAGTGACTATTAGCTTTGATTGATGATTCCAAAAATTAGTTTATCGATTCTAAAAAAAAATAAATATACTTTATCCTAAATATAAACGTTAAGCGGTCTCTTCATTGTTTGTGATCCTATTCAGACATAGGTGCATACACGCTGATACGAGTAAATGGTTTTTTTAAGAAATTCATTCGAACAAAGGATAACATCAATTGAGCTGAGTTTCATCAAATAAAAACTCGTGAAATCATCGCGAACTCTGACAAATCAAATGCAATTTTTGCGCAAAGATGAACTTCGATTCACTTCTAATATGATATTCTAAATGTACGAAAACAGACAAACATCAGTATACTCTGTCTATCGTTCATGTTCTATGCACTTAACTTAATCACGATCCGTGAGTTTGAATTTTAAACTATTAGCATACAATGTGAACAGTTTAGCCTGCTTTACCATCTATTACAAAGACAGATCAAGATATAGTTTGTATATGTAATAGGAAACAAATTTATATTTATCATTTGAAAATTTTCTTTTCTTTTATTATTGCTAGTATTGTGTGCCTATGCTTCATGAGATAAATCACATTTTGAATTTTTTCTGGAAAGAAAACGAATAATTGATGTGGGAAACAATTTAAACGATAGGATTCTACAACAATAATTGTTCATGGCATGAATACCTGCTATAATAACCTCATCTCTACACTAATTTGTCGTGCGAGTAGTGAATATGAAATAATGAATTATCCGGCTTTTTGTGTTCGTCTTGTTACCGACTGCATTATTATATTGTTAGTTATAATCGAAGTGACGATTTGTAAAACCATAATCGTATCTAAATATAAAATATTCTGATAATGTTAGCTCTCTAGTGGTGACATATTCTGGAACTATTAGAATGGTTGTGAAACTTTATAATGCTGAATTTTAGTTGAAAAATGATAAAAATCTTATGCCCCTTACAGTTAGATAAGAGTGCTTTTTTTTAATCTATTCATTAGGTAGATAAAATAAAGAAATAAAAGAAACATCGCCATGTTGAAAGTAAGCATTTTAGACATGATGAAAATATTTCTCTGCATTTTATTTCTAAGCTACATCTCTGCCGAGATTAATTCCGATAAATTTAAAATTTTGATTACTGTACGTGAGTCAAAATCATTTATCAATGATATTGATGGTTTATCGTCAAATCATACACTTATTTATCTGCTTTATACATACACTGAACCATATCAATTAGTAAAACTAAATACATCAACATTACATCCACTAGCACATGCAATATTACCATTTCATTATAATGATACAACATTTCGACAAGATTTTTTTCTTTTAACATTTTCCGACGATCAATTGTTTGTAGGTTATGTAGAAGATCTAGGAAGACCAGATGCAGCAACATGGCTGCAAGCAATCGATTTACGCTCGATGACAATTAACGACAATCTCAAGCAAGGATTTCCATTCAAACAATTTACTGGTTTCCCTTTGTTTCAAGCAATATCAAATCGACAAAAAATTATTGTTAATCTCTGCCAATGGTTTGTATTTTCTAACTGAAACAGTGTATTAAAGCGAAACGAAATATTTCTTTTAATAAGAACCAAGAAGTAAGCTAGAAATGAATAAGTGTAAGTAATTAGTGTACTCAACGGAAAAAGTACATTTTCTGAGAAGGCAACAATTAGGATTAGAAAAACTTTATTCAAGTAGAATTAATTTTTGTAAAACAATAATATCAATCAAGTTTGCAACGTTTTTTTCTAGGGATTTGACTACAAAAAACATAACAAAACCTAAAATTATTAATGGTCAATTACCTTCTACGGATCCATATAACAGTTGGCTTCTTCCTAGTATTTCTTCTCTAGATGAAACTCCTCAATTACTTCTAATGTACGATAAAAATATCCTATATACACTTAATGTTAGCTCGTCATCACAGTGGATAATCAACACACAACTATCAAATATTCGGTTAGACTTTTTATCAAAATCATTATCATTTCATATGGATGTTGTCAATGCAAGTACAATTTCTGTAGCTGATGATCAAATGAATGTTTTCATTTATAATCTTTACGAACGACAATTGTCTACAACATTGAATTTACGAAAAATGTTTCCTGATTATCCACGTATGTCGGAACAGATAGCAAATAATTTACGAGCTAATGATCAGTATGTCTATATAACGAGTTCAACCAATGTTGAACCATTTGATCAACAATATTTATTTCGTATTTGTCTCAATGATACAATAAAAGGTGTTGATTTACTTCCATTCGCGGATGAAAACTATGGTTTAACAGAATTAGTCACATTCACAGATACTGTTTATTCATTTGAGCGATTGTATGAAGCTGAAGATTATTTCAATATATACAAAATTGGCACACCTCATAAAAATATCTATTAGTAGACACTTGATAACATTCTAAGAACATGATTTTCGATTTTCAATCTTATGCAATTTGCTTTTCTACTGTTGATTAATAAAACTAAACTCAATTGCGAATAATACGAATGTAGTAGGAAAAAACTGTAAATATCCTATAAATACCTTGACATTCAAAACTTCAATAAACAGCATAGATTTGAAATCTTGAACATAAGGATAGAAAATTTTTTATATATTTGTAAAAAAAAATGTGACAATCTATTTCAAGATGAATATTCTATTTCACAAAGTCGTTGTGTCTACTTACATGAAGGACTTTTTGAAAATTGACATTCTGTGTGCAATAAACATTCATATGCGCAATAACATGCAGCATTTATACAATCATCAATCGATGCATTCAAAGAGCAATATGCTAAAAAACCTAAATAAAAATATATGACGAACAGAAAATAGATCATTCCACATCTCTACCTTCAACAAATGCATCACCACATCCGATAGTATCGATGATCTTCGATGGTCGTTTAACAGTAAATGTTTTTAGACCATGGCCTATATAATGATCAAAATAGAAAATCGATTTATTATTTAGTTTATTCATCTTACTTGATGCTAGAATAATTGGATGAGACGCACGAGTTACTATCATACATGTCTGGCTATTCTTTATTAATAATTTTTGTAATCCTTTAGCGATGAATAATATATCATCATTCGTCTAAATTAGAATTTTTTTCTTTTCTGTCATTGAAAAACAAAACAGACTAGATATTGCATACATACACTATTTTCCAGTTGATTTTGAAAAAAACATTTTATTTCCTTTGAGCAAAAAAAGAGAACGAATTTTATTGTGTATTCTGTATCATTCATCATGATAAAAAAATTATTTGAATATCGTCATTCCATCCTACCTGTTCATTTCCAAATAGATAATCAACAAAAGGTATAATAATTGCATAATAAGATCATGAAATTTTTGACAAATATATTCAACTGATAAATTAAGAGCAAATATTTTCTTTGTCTGAGTAGCATGTTCATCCAATTTGAATAGTGCTTCAGAACAAGTTCGAAGAAAATATCCCTAGAAAAATATTTCAATGATATTATTATCCCTATTATTCAAACAAATCTGACCCGGTACGTAGAATATTTTTGCTTGCTCCACATATGACCAACTTTCTGATTTATTCAAATAATCGATTGTAAATCCATGTGCTGCACCAAGATCTGTTATCATCGATCTAAATGAAGAAAAACAAATATGAGAGAAATATGACCAAAAATTGGTATTGTTCACCTCACTCCGTCTGTTATTAATATGAAACATGTTGCTGTAGGTGAATCAGAACGTTTCTGATATATAAACAATTCGCTATTTGTTTCTCCAATATTCTCCCGGATTCATCTTTTTCAATAGATCCCATGCAAACAGGTGATTGGCTCGCTCAAATAACCACTAGATAAATGTAAAATAGGTTTTTAATTTATCGAAGAATCGTTTTTACATTGATCGTTTTTAATGTATTTTGTGTGGAACCACCAGCAGAATAATTCAAATCATAATTTCCATTAGTAAAAATTTCTTTCAATCTATATGAAAATAAGAAAAACATACTGATGATCATCAAATATAGAAATATGACTAAACTTGCATCTCATCGTATTTTGACACGTTTTGTGCTAAAACAGCATTGTTCACTTGTAAATTATATCTTGAAAATAAACGTAGAGTTTTCTGAAATATGTGTCTGTACATCAAATTCATCTAGTTACCGTTGCAAAAATTCATGTGAGACTTGTGTACTTATATCCAACATTGGATGACCAAGTCCAAAACATGTACCATCACTATTCAATTCGAACATACAATGGAAGAGTAAGATCGGCTTTTTTTTGTCTAAAACTGACCTCAATTGTGTATTGACTATGGATACCATAGGAAAAGCAAAAGCCAAAATAACTTGGTTACATAAAACCAGACTGTATATTCTTATTGTTATTTTTCTTTTCTTATCTTTGTTTCGTTCTTCGAATTTCTTTCATTATTTTTGCCCTCGAAAAAAGAACTAACGTAAATAACATGTTGTACACGTGAAACTTTTTCGTTTATATAGTTATAGGTATAATATTTTCTTTGGTTGAGAAGAACGAGCAAAAAAAAACAATACAAAGTGCACTAATACTTGTATGACACAAATGTGATATTAACAAACCGTTTTGATATGACTATCTCAACCAATCGAAACACATACAATATTCTTCTTGAAAAATTTCTCCACGTGAAACTACATGCAAGCTGTGCATTGAGAACGCATTGGTCTCTACTCGATAGTCAAATAATATCAGCTAGGGAATTTCGATTTGACTATGTTCTCTTCATACAGTGTGATAAAAGAAACTTTGTACTTTTTAGCTTATGCAGTCAAACGTGACTAACGACACTTCTGACAATGTCGTTGTGTGTTTGTAAATGAAGATAAGTTATTTATTAACACGCTCATACTCTGAAAGAAAACTATTTTCTTTTTACTAGAGAATTCAATATCACATGTCTAGGGTGTGGGTGTGGGTGTGTGCGGGTGTGGATGTGGGTGAAATAAAAGAACTAGACCCACACCCACACCCACACACCCACAACATCAGATTCGACTCGAGCAGCAAAGAAAACGAAGTCAAAAAACTAGAGTTAAAAAGAAACTTGAAAAACAGACAAATGAAAACATGGATACTGAAGAAGAAAATACCGAGATGCAGTTCTCCATTCGTCCGCCTTGGCCTGAACCAATTCCTCGTGACTTAAAAGAAACTCGTTTGCAACAATTTTTAGAACAAATGCCCATGCCAGTACTGGCTGAAGCTACGTGTGCAGTATGCAATGTCCGTATTCCAGCAAAAGACTCAAAGAAAACACCAATCTCAAAAATTCCTAATATTCATTTACTTAAAGTTTCTGAAGAACTCAATGACTTCATTATAAACATTCAATCAACTTCACTACAAAATTTAAATATGGATAGAGAAATCTTCGTCAACAACGATATGGAGATAACTGAAAGTGCTAAAAGTAATATAAGACTATTGCAATTTAAAAATTCATACAAATTCTTTATAATTATTTCAGATCCTTCAACTTTTGATTCATCGCCGTTTTATTGACAAAACAATGCTATCTTATACAAAAGTGGTTTATTTCAACAAAATAAAGTGGATATGTGTGTACTTTGTGAAAAATGTCACAGTGCTCTTTCGAAGGGATCTATTCCTAAGTTTTCAACTGCCAACAATATGTGGTTAGGTGATATACCTGCTGAACTACAAGGATTAACGATTCCAGAACAAAAATTAATATCATTTTATCGTCACAACAGTTGTATAATAAAACTTCATTCGCCTTTTCATTCAACTACACCTGCCCAAACCGCACTGAAAGGCAACTGCATTACCTTTCTTCAAAATATGCCAAATAGCGTCAATAGTTTGCCACTTACACTTGATGATCTATGTGATACACTTAAAGTGATTTTTATTGGAGCTCGACCTCCCGTTTGTATTCATCTTAAAAAAGTTCTAACAGTGCGCAAGAAGAAAATTATGCAAGCATTACACTGGCTGAAAAAAAAATAATGTACTTTATCAAAACGTCAACATAAATTCCGAAAATATCGCTCAATTACCAGAAGACGATGTGCCAGAATGTATCATGTCAACATTAGAATAAAAATTAGATGATGAAGAAATTCAATCTGAAAGAGTTGGATATGTTCCTGATCCATTATCCGATCCCACAGACCATACCGCGACAGATACTATTCCTATTAGTAACAGGTGAGACCAATTTATGAATCAATTGTTCCATACATCTTTTCTATTTTAGTGGTGTTCTTGATGTCAATGGCACGTCAATATCTTCAGAAAATATCACTAATTATTTTTTGCACAAAATTAAAAATAATGGAAACAAGGATCAGATGGATATCGAAAATGTTTACTTAATTCCACATTCATCGAAACCTATTAACGAACATTTAAATCCCAATTTATTAGCAGATTTATATCCAACTTTATTCTGTTATGGGCATGGAGCACCTGAAGATCAATCACGTCCAGTTCAGATAAAATTAAAAGAACACATATGTTATCTATTATCTTATAACGATCGTCGTTTTAAAACAAACCACAGTTTTATATTTGTAGTCTTCAATTTATTGCAACGGTGTGATGCCTGCTTTCATGCTCAACTGATAGCAACCAAGCCTTACTTTCAATCATCTGCTGATGAAATTCTATCTTTGAGTAGTAAATATATTGAAATAGTCCTTAACAATAATTCCAAAATAATATACAATTCAGAATCAAACAATGCATTAAACAAACTGCTGCAACGTATTAAAACTGTTGGTGGCCGGGTTATGGGTTCAGCATATTCACGAACAGCTTTACGTGCCCGAACTCATGCACTTATCTATAGTCAAGGACTACCTAGCATATTTCTTACTTTAAATCCAGCCGATATCCACAGTCCTGTGGCATTATACTTTGCAGGCGTTAAACTTGATCTAGACAATATCCAAAACGAATAACTTATGGATACGTACAAAACAGCTGAAATTATAGCATCTCATCCTGTTGCAACTGCAGAATTTGTTCATTTATTGATTAACAATATTTTAGATACTATGATTAGTGGTGGTATTCTTGGACCAATAAAGGCTTATTTCGGTACTGTTGAGAGTCAAGGCCTAGGTTCACTTCATTTGCATCTCCTTATTTGGGGTGGGTGTGCGTGTAAGTGTAAGTGTAAGTGAAGAGAAGACCAACACCCACACCCACACCACCCACACCCACACCCACACCCACACCCACACCCACATCCACAGTCACACCCCACCCACACCCCACACCCACACCCACATATGGATGACAGTTTCGTCCAACGAAAATGCTTGACAAAAATGTCGCTAAATGAGATTTACTATCTTCCATTTTAAACCTTAAATATTAGCTGTTACGTTTTCCAATACGTTTTGGTTTCATTTTGATATTATGCATCTTTTTCAATCAAAATTGATATTCTTTCTTTTAATTTCTATTTTACATTTCTTTCCATTATTATTTAATTTGGTTTTACTTTTTATTTATTAACTTTATCTTGCTATGTTTTAGTTTTCTTTCAATTTTTGTTCTTTTTTCAAATAATATATTTATTTTCATTGAATTTAGATTTTATTTCCAGTTATTGAATTTTACTTTCAATTAGACAATTTATAGGTCAAATTTTTGTCTTTTTTACAATATATTTCAATTTTATTCTTTATTTTATTTTAAAATTTTATATTTTACTTTTATGTTTTATAATATCTTCGTTTATTTCTTTTATTTATTGTAATGCAGAGCCCTGAGGAGTGTTTTATTATTTTAATAAATAAATATGAAAGGTGTCGGCATAGATGATATCTGCATTTTAATTTTATGTAAATTCAAGCATAATATTCAAAAATATACTTAAATTCGACTTTATCGGCTGCTGAATAAGCATAAATTGATGTGTTTTCAAAATTGTTTGTTTCATTCACGCATGATATTTTCGTTAATGTAGAAAAATTATCAAAAATATTTTTTTACGCATGTGTTAACTTGTTGCTACACTGTTTACCTTGTGAAAGATAAAATAAATCATTACTTTTAAAATTTTTTGCCGTCTCTTCTCTATACAGGTTAAAGAACAGTAATTTACGCATCGGTGATCACAGCTATTTAACTAACGAACATAACAACATCGTCACATACTCAACATATATTAGCAATATTACATTCCTGACTTAACTAAATGTTAGCCTTATTTTTGTTTACAAGTCGTCACTGAATATTTTTCTACGGTAACTACGACTGTCATAGTTTTCAAATGGGATCTTAATAAAATTTCTTATAAGGTTTAAGAATTGAAATATCTAGAGCAACACAATCAGTGATCGTCTCTAGAACGTAACCGTTAAAATTAGATACATAAAAAGAGAACAGTAATGTAAAACATGATACAAATTTTGTTTGTCCTTGTTCTTAATTTATATCATTTGATCATTTACTACTTTGTTTCCAAATTAAGGCCAAATAGAGTTTTGCTAAATAAGTTATGATGTTCGAACTTATTGAACTGATCATACTATTGCTCTGTTAGTCTATGTAGTCAATGACTTAACTTACTCAATAGAAGAGGTTTTATGGCAGAAACTACTTGAAAAAAATTGACGTAAGATGTTTCTAACATATTGATACTTTGATTCTTTTTGTAAGCATCTGATAGAAAGCTGTGAAAGAGGTCTAAAAAAGTGCTCTTTCTAAGAATAAGATTCTGATTCTTAAAGTAACTTTGAAATCGAAAAGCAAGCGTACACATTATACACAAAATGGTTTTAAATAAACGTCGTGTTTAATATCTTGTTGATATTCATTTTCAGACTTACGGTGATGAGTCTATGTTCTTTTCGAGTCATTTCGGTCATTCCTGGAAAGCATTACATAGAATATTCAATGATCTATCTTCTAGTTATCACTATAGTCAGCTTCTGATAGTAATTATATAATCACATGCATAGTGCAACATTTAGTCGTCGATTTAGCTGCGTAGATAAGCTTTTTTTCTAGACTATAAAATAAGGATATGTGACAAAGCAATAAACAGCAGTTATCAAAGAATTCCAAGAGCCACATTGAATAAATGCAATCAATACAGAGAACTAATTGTTAGGAACTTTAGACTTGCTAGTATATTGATTCGTTATCAGTCTAATTTTCATTTCATTTTTCCCGTTTTCTTTATAACATCATCGCCTTACTGGAAGAGTATTTGTATTAGATAATATATTTCACTACAACATGTACTAAATGTACATAGTGAGATAATTCATAGCTGAAACTGGTATCAACTAACATCCTGCCTAACGCTACCTGGTATAGGATTCATCACCGTCGGTGTAACAACCGATCAATACAACTTTTTCAAAAGCAGTCTAATCTAAATATTTGTGACAGTTTTTCTGTTGTTTTTTTCCATTTTCACATACTTTTACAAAATATTGGCTGCAAAAAATACTTATTTTCGGATACAAAGTTAACATTACCATATCCATGAATATTTCTATGAATAGACAATAGCTAGAATACTATTAATAAGTTAATTTTCGTTGAAAATATCTTGCATATTTCACGGAATCACTTCGATATGAAGTCACAGTATCGAACACAATTTCTTAAGGATGAGTTTGTCTTTTGTTGTTTGATTTCATATTATATACGTATATTGAGAATTCAAAAAAGGAAACTTCCCATGTAAATATCAGTTTGTTCTATCGGACTTATTTTGACCGGTTACAGTTCTCTTATGATTATTAGCTACACTAAAAAAAATCGTTTTTTTCCAAAACCTTCAAGATTCGGGATAAAAATGTAATGGTTTTGCATTTTGCTACGAAACCTTTTTTTTGACTACCGAACTTAAAAAAGGGTTTCGTAGAAGAAGGTTCTGATGGTGTATCCAGGATAAGAACCTTTAATCGTTCCGTAGAAATAAAAAGCCTTTTTTCGGACGTTTTGAGTCATTTGGATTCTATTCGAAATCTACCCGAACCTTTTTTTGAGAGTTTTGGAAAAACCGATTTGTTTTAGAGTGTACTTACATTAATTCAAATTATTTGGATTGTATAATCTAAATATCTTTTTTATTTATTTTAAAATTTGTATATTGTTCGATGTTTTGATGTAAAGTTCATTTAACGGATAAAATCTTATTAATCTTCAATTATCTTGAATTATTTTAGTATTCGTATAATTTTTAAAAAAACTTAGCGCAACCCCTTGCGGGATTAAAAATGTGAAACGCGAACTAACTGTTGTTATTGAAGAAATAATATTCTTGTATTCTATATGGTTTTCTAGCTCTTTAGTTTCGGAGTTTTAGAAGGCAAAAATTTCAACGAGCACATTCGTTATATATTTTCTGAAATTTGAATCACTTACAATCACTAATCTTTCATTTACCAAGTTTATTATAACATCCAGTGGCCTTTAACGTTTCTGTGTCACTGTCTGTGGGATGGTCGGTCCAAATTTCTATCCTAATACATTTCAGCACTCCTTTCAGTTCGTGTTTAACGAAAATTTCAATGGCTTGTGAATCAAATGTTTTTACAGTTGCGATCCGGTAGTCTATTTTTTAGTGAAGATTGATTGATGCTTTATACGGGTGTAATGGATCTGTGCACTATTATGTTTCAAGTTAACTTGTTGCGTATTTTATCCTTCAATTCATCTAAATGTTCAGTGAGTTAGTTCTCTTAGCTAATCAAATGAAGATAACCATGAAAGAATAGTTGCGTGATATCTGTTTTAGAGTTATTTCGTTAATTCTCTGCGTCGTTACGCATCACGTTAAATTATGTATTAATGTTTGTGTATTGTGAATTGTATGTTATCATCCTTACCAATCCTTCAATTTCTTTGACTACGTAGTCTGCTTCTATGATTCATTGTATTGCACTTGCGTTTATTTTTCTACTTTTTATACTCAGTTAAATATTTCATTATTTACAAATTTATTGAATAATAATATATTCTCTTCTGTACTAAATTTTCCATAACTAAATGAGTAATATGTTTTGTTTGATAAGACCAACGAAATGCTCCTTGATTCTTTCAAACTCGTTTAGTAAATAAAATTTATATTTTCATAAAATTGTTTATTTTGAGCGACACATTTGAGGTAGATTAAATATGGATTCGTTTTATCATTTTAGGTCATATTTTTAAAAACTTTTTAACCAATCCATAAGTCGACAGATGGTAATTCTAAATAAAATTCACTCATTGGTTTCAGAATATTCCTCGACTAAACAATACGATGAATTTTGCTTTTGATAAAGACTCCTCAAACATCGCACAATTTTTCTGTTTTATAACAAATCGAAGTCCCATTTTAATGTAATATGAGAATTGTTTTTGTTTCGTAAAACGATTGCAACACATACGTTTCTAAAGAAAATATTTCGTGAGAAACTTTATATTATTATGTATTATAAAACAACTGATTATGGCATTGTTTCGATTTTAGATACTGATTAGAAAATGAAATAATTATTATGGCCACTTTCCCATTTTCAGCGTCAAATGATTGGTCAAAAAATGGTGTTTGGTCTATGCAATCAAATTGGAATCCATGGGCTACACCCGTACCAATGGAACAACGTTATTCTTCCGGCATAGGAAATTTTGTCGTAGAAGAAACTTATAAAAGGTATCAACCACAAACCGTGACGGTCAATGATAATATTATTGTCGATAGTAAATATCAAATATCTAACAGTGATCGCCACAAGGAAAGATCTATAAAAGAAATTGAACATAAGAGCAAAGATGAACATTTACGAGAAAAACGTTTTATGGGTCTTCCCATTACTTCGGAATCTTCATTTGGTGGTCGTTTTGGTTCTGCATCTCCATTTTTCATTGAAATAAAAAAATACCTAAACCTTGAACCAACTGATTTATTTTCGAAAAATTCAGCAACGATACCGGTGTTGGTTGAAAA